ATATACATGGCAGTGCTCTCACACAATGCATAAGAGCGCTAAGCGGTTGTAAACCGCGTCACGCTGCTTTTGCACACTGCGCAATATTTTGCGACTAGCTCCGGTCAAACGTTAATGAAACGAATGATCATTGCCAGAGGCTTTTGCCCACAGTATATTATACTATAGGAGCGCACTTGATTACAGCAATAATTTTTCGAATAATCACAAGATTTCATATTTGCGGTCAGCAGACCCAAATAATTTCAATTGTCTCTGATCGAACGTTTAAAAACGAATGATCCTTCCACTACTTATCTATAGCCGCAAACCAGCATCCGAATATATACGGGGTATATAATTTTAGATATGGCTAACAACATTATTAAAAGTTACGCTAATATATCATTGACAGACTAAAAGTATCGAATATGATGTAAAAACTACACCGGGGAATGATATCCGTACCCGCCTGAACAACATAGCGTACTTTAGCCTAAGCTTGCTCGCATCGCACTCGACACGACCTATCCCCCTATATAAGGCGCGCGACCACAGCGTAAGTGTTCGACTGAGTCCCAAGCGACGTGATTTTGACCTGCGGCGAGGCGTCGCTCCGGGTTACGGTGTGAATCGTCAAGACAAAAGTCTGGGAAAATTTCGAACTGTGAACCCTTATGATAGAAATTTTTTTTTCGAAATTTTTGTTAGATGTTCAAACAGTTTTATATATATGGATAATATGAATTATAGTTAATTATTGAGTTTTTAGGTGTTTTTTGTTTTTTTTTAAACTTTTGTATAAAAATATGTATTTATTGATTTTTATAGATCTCGTTCGTACGAAAGATGCAGAATAAAATTACGAATAAAATGGTATATAAATGGTTAGGTGTGTTCATATAATTTTCTCGAGATTTTCCGATTTTCCCGAATTTTCACGACGGCAACTCGCCTGTAGGCCACACCGTGCGAAATTCGAAGTTGTGATATATGGAAAAACAACTAAGAATTTTGAGACCTTTCTAATGATGTATAATACTTTATATGTTTTCTTTAGAGAAATATCGAATCGTGAGGAGTGTTGCTCTAACCTATCCGCACTTTGCATTTTGACAAGTTAACTACACAGATTGCTCTATACTATCTAAACGGTAAAAGATACAAAAAAACTTTGTTCGTACAAAAGATGCAGAATAAAATTACGAATTAAATGGTATATAAATGGTTAGGTGTGTTCATATAATTTTCTCGAGGTTTTCCATTTTCCCGAATTTTTACGACGGCAACTCGCCTGTAGGCCACACCGTGCGAAATTCGAAGTTGTGATATATGGAAAAACAACTAAGAATTTTGAAACCTTCCTAATGATGTATAATACTTTATATGTTTTCTTTAGAGAAATATCGAATCGTGAGGAGTGTTGCTCTAACCTATCCGCACTTTGCATTTTGACAAGTTAACCACTACACAGATTGCTCTATACTATCTAAACGGTAAAAGATACAAAAAAACTTTGTTCGTACGAAAGATGCAGAATAAAATGATGTATAACTCGATATATGTCATAATATATTTTTCATGAGATTTTTCAATTTTTCCTTTAAATTAAAAAATGTTTTAAATTTTTCGCTGACTTTAAATTCATTTGCGGGTTATGCTTTTTTTTACAATATTGTTTCAAATGATGTAAAAAGTTAAATTAGCGAGGTGCCTCAATATGCAAAAAATTGGCCCACCCTAATATATATATATATATATATATATATATATATGTGTGTGTGTGTGTGTGTGTGTGTGTGTGTGTGTGTGTGTGTAGCGACCTGTCAACACACGTCGCATTTCAACTTGACAGATGTACAATATTTTGGGGCTCATCATAGTGTCAGCGCAAAAACAAAAAGTACAAATGTCAGTTCGGATCTCTATATTGTTTCTCCCTAGTCTCATTGCTAAAATCATAATTCTTAAAACCTTTACTTTTTAATTGTAAATAAGTAAATACCAACTATATTTTATAAATGATCAAGATGATTACACATAGTGTTGTCAATACTAATCATACATAAAATAAACCAAGTATAAAACATAATATTTCATGGAATTTATTATGTCTACAATTCTGGTATTTAATATGGACCACGCTTTCATATTTTGGTGACCCCGAGAGTAAACAAATAACACGCAAGAAGGTAAGAAGATCAAGGCATATTTAGAAGTAACAAAAAATAAATTGAAGTCTCATGAATTATTAAGAAAAGAATTTTTAAAAATATAAATAATTAATATAAATGGCTCACAACTGCCATAACTCGAAGAACATTCTAATCATACAATTGAGACTCCGACCATGCACTTCGAGATCAACAACACGTGCTCAATAAATCACTTATTATCCTGGTAAACAAGTCGATTATAAGCACCATGGTAGCAGACAGGGAGCATCAGCAAACAATTTGGCAACCGCCATACACACTAGGCCACGGCCATGTAAGCGTTCAATGGACTAAACAAACATGGCAACCGCCATACGAAATGTCCACAATCAATCAAACAATGCTCCAAGCAAACACGGCAATCGCCATTCAAAACGGCCTCAAGCAAGCAACCAACTCACCAAGCAAACATGGCAACCGCCAGCAAAAACGGTCACGGCCACAAACAAACAAAAATTAATCACACAATTAAAATAGAAAAAAATAAATTAAAAAACAAAAAATCTCAACGAAAATTTACAAGAAATTTCAAGATGGCAGTCACAGATGCCAAACAATCTTTTCATTGGGGCGGAGTGATCTGTAGCGACCTGTCAACACACGTCGCATTTCAACTTGACAGATGTACATTATTTTGGGGCTCATCATAGTGTCAGCGCAAAAACAAAAAGTACAAATGTCAGTTCGGATCTCTCTATTGTTTCTCCCTAGTCTCATTGCCAAAATTATAATTCTTAAAACCTTTTCTTTTTAATTGTAAATAAGTAAATACCAACTATATTTTATAAATGAACAATATGATTACACATAGTGTTGTTAATACTAATCATACATAAAATAAACCAAGTATAAAACATAATATTTTATGGAATTTATTATGTCTACAATTCTGGTATTTAATATGGACCACGCTTTCACACATATATATATATATATATATATATATATATATAGAATTTTATGATATGAGTGGAACGAATATTAATTGTTTAATATGAACAAAACAGCACTCAGATTTGTTTAACACAACTTTATTTTATGATTACAGACGTTTCGAGACCATGGTGTGTCTCATCTTCAGTGTAATTTCAAAAACAGTTACTTATATACTACACATTCTTTAATAATTTATTTAAATTTCATTTAATTTTTGGTATACAAAAAACACCAACTATTCCTTGCAATGCTTGACACAGTACTAAAGAAACATATAACACTTACAGAAATATTCTAAACAAATTTGAAGTACTTATATAGATGGAGACAGAGAGGGTATCATTATAATGTAAACAAAAGGAGTGCTATCGCATACAAAATCGATAAAAATGAAAAAACAAATTAATTTATTGAAAAGAATAAGATAAATGAAAAAATTTATAAATTATTAATGATGTTTATATAAGTGTCATGTAAAATATTTGTGTCGGTTCTTAGATTTATGCTATTGTTAGTCCGAACTATTAACATTGATTCTGCCATGCTCCGTTTAAATAAGTCTTTCTCATGGAATAAAATTTGGGGATTGTCAAAATCAAACTTATGGTTGTTGATATTAGCATGATCCACAAGTGTACTTTTAAATTTTTTGTTATCTATTTTTTCACATTGTAATTCATGTTGCCTGAG